CTGTGAGGCAACACTGATAACCACTGATCCACTGTTCTGCCATGTTATTCTGACTTCATCTCGTGTAAAGCAATCAAGGCTTTATGAATAGAGAAATGAGATGAGTGTGTGTGTGTGTGTGTGTGTGTGTGTGTGTGTGTGTGTCTGCTTGATTAAAGGAGTGTAGATAGCCATGCTGGCCCCACCAGCTGTAACCTGTTTTCTAATCAAGATCTTTTCAAAGACTTTGCCCCTCTTTTCGTTTTTAAACTCTGCAGACTGCTGGTATCTCTAAACTCTGAGCCAAGCTGAAAACGAACATGCTGCTCAGCTCTTTGTTGACCACTGACCTGATTTTGTTCTTTTGTTCATTTCATCTCTGGTCCAACTTTCCACGTACCTCGATTCCCCCTCCATCCTTCTGCTTCCAGGACCTCGACAAACCCAAACCCAGCTCGGCTGTCGGACCCACCTCCCTTTGCAAGAACAAAAAGTAGTTTCTTCCTTCAGACAGACTCGTTTTATTGGGTCTGCTTTTGGTTCAATTGCAGCCGAATCCAAGACCAGAACAAAACATTACAATTTATATTGTAGATTTACACATAGCCTTTCTTGATGATGGATTTAGCAGAACTCTTGGGACTGCACTTGGTCATTGGCGGTGTGGTGGGGTGGTCTTGGGTGTGGCTTCTCTGCGGCGGGGGCTGGCTGGGCGTCCTGGTGCGGCCCGGGCCGGGCCTTGGCTATCTGCTCCTCTCCACCTCAGGATGATTGGGTCTACCTCCTGGGTTCGGGTGTGTGGTGCCTCCAATAGGGGGTGGATGCATGTCCTGGACCTGGGAGGTATAGGGTGTGTGTCGGGTGTATGAGTGGAATGTGGTGTCCTTGTATGTCTTTGATTGAGTGGGGGTGAGGATGAGGGTGGGATGGTGCGATTGTGTATGTTTGGGTATTTGTCAGGCTGCGGTCTGGGCTGCCCCTACTGCTGGTTTATCTGGAGGCCCGCTGCTGCTCGGCCCCCCGGTGGGGTGTGCGGCTGGCCGCTGGCATGCTGCGGGTTCCCGGGGTCTGGGGCTGGCCGCTGGGGTGTGTGCCGGCCTGGCCTGGTGACTGCCTGCTGGGGCTCGGGGCCTCTGGCCCTGTCGGGCTTTGGCCTGGAGGGGGTGTGCCCTGGGGGCCCGGACCTCTGTGCCCTTTCCTGGATCTGCTCTGGTATAGCGGGTGCCGGTGGGGCCCATGAATTTGTCGCTGCTGGCCCCGGGGGCTGTGCGTGTGGTCGCTGGTGAGACTCTCCCAGTTCTCTCCTATGGTCTGATCTGGGGGGTGGGTGGGCGGATCTTCCCATGCGGGTGCCCCTTGGGGCACTGCGCTCGGGATCCCTGTCGGGCCCTTGGGCTCTGGTCTTCCCTATGTCTGCCTCATGTCTTGGGGGTTGGGTCTCGGTCCTCCACAGTCCACGATTAAATATTCCATTGGAGAAATCTTGTAAATACACGCATGTTCACAACTGCTCACAAACAGGTGCTCTGATCCGGGGGGTTCTGACTGGTCACTGAGTGTGTATATATGTCTGTGTGTATATACTGACAATATTTATGAATGTAGGCATGTATGTATGTATATCTTTATATATGTATGGGTATGTGTAAATTTTTATATATGCCCTCCATGTATTTATCCATTTATTTTTCAGGTGAGCGGACAGATGTTGGGTGTGTGGTCCTGTGTTTTGTTGGTGTATATTTAATATACTTCTAATCGCTATTTCAATCTTTCTATCTTTCTAATCACTTCTCTCTGTTTTTCTCTCTGTCTTTATTTTCTCTTCACTTAAAAAAAGTCACTGATGATGAAGAAATAAATAAACTAAATAAACTAAAATTTAGTTTCGTTTTTCTACTGAAGTGACAAAAAAAGAGTGTTAGAGTTGGCCTGACAAATGTTGCTACTGTTCCTTCAATAACCTTTCTATCAATCATATAGGACTGATTTATTTATTTTATTCATCTATTTAGAAACATTTTCATTTCATTAAAAACATTAACCTATATACAATAAAAATAAAAATACACAAATCGAAGATCAAATAAAATGAAAGGCAGCAGAAAGAAGCAAAAAATTTTATAATATCAGCCTCTTTAATGCCAAAATTATATTCAAACAATAATAATTTACAAAAAAACAAAACCATAAAACAAACAAAAAAAAAAACTTAATGAAAACAACATCAAGTCAAACAACAATTCATATGGAATCAGATTATGCTTTTCCATATACCTTCAAAAAACTAACTTTTATCATTTCCTTAAAAATTAACACTGAGATTAACAGGTCTCTCTTGTAAATGAGACAATGAGTCTCAAGAGATCTTCCTGTATAAATAAAGGATAAATAAAAAAAAATTAAAAATAAAAAAAACATTAACATCCCTAAAACTCTTTTTCCAAGTTGATAAAACATTTTCATAAAGTTTTGTTTGTCCTTTATGTAAGCATGAACTATTTTCTACAGTCTATAAATAACCAAACCCTTTTTGTCTATTTGGATTTATTTTTTTTAGTTCCAGAAAACAAAAATAAACCACATCAACTTCATCAATGTTTTTTGGTAACTTAATCAGCTTTAACTGTGGAAAGAGATAAAGGACGTAATCATGAATGGATAAAAGATAATACAAAGGTTAAGGAAACACTTTTTTGAATGGTTCATTTGCATTGTTTGTATATTTGAAGTCGCAGGATCACAAGTCTCTGATTTTATTTTGTGGCTTAAAAGCAGAAAGGTTTGGGAGCGCCTGACTTACAGGAACAACAGTTTTCATTTTTCTAAAAACTAACGTTATGTTGCACATCAGAAGTGGACATCATTTCCAAGAACTGAAAGCATCAAGATGATCTCTAACGGTTACTTCCCAGGATCTACGTCTGCTCATCAGTCTATGGAGAACATAAGAAACGTCCCCCGAAAGCAGCCAGACTACAGTTACAGTTGTAAGGACAGGATCAGCACAATGGGTTTAGTCAGTGTTGACCTTCCAGTAACCCTCCTGTGTAGGAGGGGGGGCCAGGACAGGAAAGAGATATATAGATGCAGGAGAGGAAAGAAAGTACAGACGAGAAAGAGAAGAAACACAGAGTGAGGGGCAGAGAGGGGAGGGAGAGAAAAAGAAAAAAAAAATAGAAAACAGAAAGAGGTAGGAGAGAAAGAAGAATTCTGGGACACAGACACAGAGAGAAAAATAAGAGGGGGCTTGTTTCCCCCTTCTCTCCACACCCTCTGGCTTTTAGAAGTGAAGCAGCTCTTTGAAGAGAAAGTGGGAGCAGTCCTGGACCTCCACGGTCCTGCCCGGAGTCCAGGGTGCAGCGAGAACAACCCAGCAGCCAGCTGAGACCCTGACAGGACCCAGGCATGAACGACATCAAGCTGGCTCTCCTCGGGAGCCAGGGGGCTGGCAAATCAGGTGAGGACTACTACAGCATTAAGAGTGAAACATCTTTTATTAACGTGTTCAAGTGTTCAGGATTTACAAAACAGAAAGTTAAGATTTCACTCTGCAAATGTGAATATTAACAGTTTAAACTAAAACATACTGCAAATTTAATTATTTTGTTCTCAAACCTCAATTCTAATGTATTTGTGTTACATAACGTGTATTTGATGTGGGTTATGATAAAAGAAAAAAACATTTTGTTTTTCTGATAGATTTAAAGACTTTACTGCTTGATTACTCATCATTTTGATCATTTTAAACATCAACTCAAATTGTAATTTAAGTTTTAGGGTGAAGAATGAACTGAGTTTTTATTTTATTTGCTGCCAATTTAAAGATATCCTCCTGCCTATGATTTGCTATCAAAGAGAAAAACTGTCAAGGAGAATAAACATGAGCAAAAGAATGATTGACCTAATGATTCTGCAATAAACCATGTAAAATACTGCTAATTAATTGTAGCTTTAAGCAAACATTCCTAATTTAACAACTGACTATAAGAACGTCACAAGTTGACATATTCATATCACCTTATATTGATCTCTGTTCAGTTTAAAAAATGATTAGGATGTCCAGCATAATCTAGACTTCAATTATATTTACAAAAACAGACCAACACACAGTTGTGTCTTTATACCGTAGGACCTGTTTCCACACTTTAATAAGCTCATCCTGCGTTCAGAACAAATGTGGTTTGAGCATCAAAAACATGTCCAAGTTGGACGCTTACGCACCTTGAGGTCAGACGCAGAGTTAAACTCTTCATCAGTAATCTAAAGCTGTCAGGTTGTGTGAGGTTGTGGAACCCACAATGCAGGCAGGACTCGGAGTCAAAGCAAACTGGTTTTATTAAACAGAAAATGCTGATGACCGGGCAGCCAGAGCTCTACCCACAAAACCTCTGGAGGAAACAGAGGATGGTGTTCACTGCTGACCTACCAGACAAATGGAGAGAAGAGATATTAGAGAAACACTAGACAGTAATGAGACAAACAGCTAACTGAGAGAAGGTGGCTCAGTTGGTAGAGCTGATGCCTCTCAGTAAGAAGGTTGCCGGATTGAATCCATCGGGACCTTTCTGGGTAGAGTTTGCATGTTCTCTCCGTGCATTGTGTGGGTTTTCTCCGGGTACTCCGTTTTCCTCACACAGACCAAAAACATGACTGTTAGGCTAATCGGTAACTTGTCCCTAGGTATGAGTGAGAGAGTGAATAGTCGTTTGTCTCTATGTGGTCCTGTGATGGACTTGTGACCTGTCCAGGGTGTACCCCACCCCTCGCACACTGATTGCTGGATATGGGCACCAGTGACCCTGAAAGGAAGAAGCTGGTATTGGTAATGGATGGATGGATAACTGAGAGACAAACTGGTGAGGGTGAGGCTGGATCAGACAGCAACATGGGAATAATGCAACACTAGTAGAAAATACATATCCCTATAGAAGCATTTGTTAGGCAGTGTTGTATAAAGTACCTCAAAGTGATACTCGAGTAAAAGTACAAGTATCTTATCATAAATACTTTGGTAAAAGTTAAAGTCTTCTCTAAAAATATTGAGTTAAAGTCTTAAAGTATCTGATATTTTTTGTACTTAAGTATCAAAAGTAAATTTCTGACTCAAAATCTACTTAAGTGTTAAAAGCAGCTGTGATGGGTTGTGTACAAGCTAATGGGGTGTCAGAATGGTGTATATTTGTACTTCTCATCCAACCACAATTAAATTCACTCTATCCAGGAGACACGATTTATCAGGATAGTTTTTTTAAGTAATAACAACTCAGAATAAAACAGGAGTAACGACTTTCTACTTCTTACTTTTTTAAAAAATGTAGTTTTTGTAGATAATTGTGTAAAAATGTAATGAGTAAAAGTAAAAAGTAGGCTGAAAAATATTTACTCAAGTAAAGTACAGATGCCCAAAAATTCTACTTAAGTACATTAACAAAGTATTTGTACTTAGTTACATTACAACTCTGGCATCAGGATAGTATATTTCATTTAGATAAAATTTGTTACATGCAGACTTGGTTTCTTATGAGTTTTAGTTCTTCTTTGTACTTTTTGTTGTTTGTCCTCAAAAGTCAGTCATTTTTTGAGTGCATGTTTGCCATTAAAACCAAGCTAAAATAAGACGTGTAAAGTCTGGGTTTTGAAACAGAAAACAGCTGTATATTTTATCCCTTTTTTATTCATTGTGGCAAAAATCAATTATTAGCTTGTGATTTTCTTTCTTCAAAGTCCTCTGTTCATCAATTCTGAGTGTTGAGTTGTGCTTATTGTCAAAATTTTGTTCCAAATTCTTTAAACAAAATATTCGTAGATGAAAATCCTGATACCTTCTGATTGTACTTAAGAGAAATGAATCTTTTTTTATGAACGTTTCACTGAAGTTGATATAGAAATTAGATTTATTGGCATTTTATCTCCAGATTCATGCACTCAGAAACTGCTACAAAAGTATTCTATGTGGCGATAAGCTCGGACTGAAATCTGCAAGGTGGTTTTGTAAAATATATTTTAGCAACAGGATTCACTCTGTAAGTCAGAGCTAAGAATACAGATAAACACATCTTTCACTGAAACTATTATGATATAAACCAGTTTGAAAGTCTAAGTTTATGACTATGTTTACATACATTTTTAACACATAGTTGTCTTCCTGAAATTCCCATAAAAAAGGTAAAATTTTTATACAGAAAGAAAAATTGGAACTTATGTCAAGCTAAAAGAAGAAGAAAGTTTTATACACAGATCTGAGATTTTGGCTTCATGTACTGTATACGCTGATATATGTGAGAGAGGAATACTTTGTCTGAGGGAACTTTAACCCTTAGATAATAATTCCTAAAGGAGAGCAAAACTATATTTCAGAAAACTGAAAGCCTGCAACATTTAACATAAAACTGTTTTGAATTTGATCTTTATTTAGTGTTTGCAAGCTAACAGCTGAACTAGCTGACTGTGTTTAGCAGGACATAAATGTAACTGTGCGGTAAAGCTTTACCAAGCTGTGGATTTCTTGTGTGAATCATTTTAACAGTGTCGCTTCTTGTTGCGTTCATGTTAAAAAAAAAAAAACAACTTCACCCATTTCCTGTTCTTTGTTTTGCTGCATTTTCATTTCTTTAACACGATTTCCATCACACTCTGCCCAAATCAAATCCTTTTTTTTTTTTTTTTGGCGGGACGTTTCAACTTGAGGGATGCCGGGACAAGAGTGAAAAAATCAAGACAGTCCCGCAGAATTTGAGACGTCTGGTCTCCCCAGATAGTGTGTGTGTGTGCGTGAGGCACATTGTGCACACTGGGCCTTGTGTGGGACAGATGCACTGTTTTTGTGCACCATGCACATTGCGCTCGTGTGGCATCGGGTGTGTGGTGCCACGTTGTTGTATTTGTGTGGATCAAGTGCAGTGCTCTGGGCATAGTATTCCTTTACAGATCTGAAATGAACAATAAATTTGAACTAGACATATATATATTTTTTATAAATATGTCTGTGTACATGCAAAATGGAGGAAAATCCTTGCAATTTATAGTCAATCCGTACAACTTACACGGTCCCTTGGCCGTCAATTAAGAGTATTGGTTCAACTGTGACATGGGGACACTGTTATTTGCATTCATTGGGCCTCAAGCAAGAACATGTTCATATTCTTATCCTAAAAGTCTCTTACTTTTGTTCGTACGAAGGGTTTGTACGAACATGTCACGTCAGATTCAACAAACTCTTCTATCTTCAGGAAAAGTGTGTAAATGAACTGCGTAAATTCCACCTGTTCGTATCCAGCTGCTCGTGCACGCGAGAGGAGATTAGCATAATTACCACCCCAAAAACACCATATAAGGCTGTGTTTCCTGCCTCAGATACAAGGAAGTGTCCATTCATGAAAAATGACAGTGAAAATTAAAAATAAAAACTTTACGAGTTCAGAGATTGAAGTCCGTCTGTCAGAGATCCAGAAAAGAAAATCTGTCATTTTTAGCAGGTCAGCTGTGGAATAAAAAGAGCTGCTAAAAGTATAAACAACTGTGTTAAATCATTTTCATTTATTCAGAAGCCACAGCGCTGCGCACCGTACCACCCTCCCCCTCCGCGCGGTCGCAGGTGGTCTCAGATGCGGGTCTGAAATAAGCATTTTAAAATGTTTTCAAAATAAGTCTGCCACTTTGGAGAAAACCCAGGACTCGCTAGAGGGATTATGTATCCCCTCTGGCCTGGGAACGTCTCAGTGTCCCCCAGGACGAGCTGGAAGTTGTCACTGGGGAGAGCGGGGTCTCCTGCTGCCCCCCACGACCCGATCCCGGATAAGCGGCAGAAAATGGACGGACGGACAATTTACATTGTTAGTCTAAATTATTACATTTAAAATTATAACTCTAATTCAAGCAGAATAGCCTATTGTCAACATAATTATGGAGTGTAATTTATTTTCAACTCAAAATATCTTCAAACTAATGAAATATAAAGTTATTAGTGAAGAAAACCCGTCTGGATAACAGCAGACTGACTGTTCGTAAAACATACGACAGGTCTGGACCACTCGTGAATTTTGTTCGTATCTGAAAAAAATCTTAGAATACGAAAACATTGGTGAATGTCACAAACTCTCCTAAATCACTCGTACGCACAACTTAAGAACAAATCTGTGTGTACAAATAGTTCTTGCATGAGGCCAATTGTCATCATACTTCTTAGCATATAAATGCAAAGCCAATATTCACGTACATATATAGTCTATTGTATACAATTAAGTCATCGACTGACTTTCCGTATAATGTGTTACATTTGATTGATGTTAGGAAGGAATAAAAATACTAAACCAATATTCAAATGTTTGTTGAGACAATAAAATATTTTCAATGGAGAACTATATCACAATTATCTCCATGCTTGTTCAGGATAATTGACAGATATATTATTAGATTATTATTTAATTAGCCGTCCAGTTGACAAGTTTATGTTTTCTCTAGAATTGCTGTTGAGTGTCAGTCCCAGCGATGATAGTTAGAAATGGTTGACTGTGTACTGTCTATTTACTAGAACAATGGGATGTTTCAGTTCTTGCTGCCTGGCATGTGTGTCAGAGCTCTGGAGTTTGTTCGTGCATGCTTGAGCCCATTTATTATGATTTATGCTCTGGTTGTTGCTTTCAGTGGGTGTCTCGTTGTTTTGTTCCTCAGATGTATCGGTCTATGTTTGGTTGTGGGACCACAAGAATTACTATTGAATTAAATGCCGCAAGCTGAAAGTTCTTTTCTACCTCTTCTAAGTGAATGCATGATTAAAATAATGTAAACACAGTGTGTACATTTGTGTGTCCTCATAACTAAACGAGAAATTCTGTCCAACGTCTCTAGAGGCCCACCATCAGGTTCAGGACTGAGGAGGCCAGCCCATAATTGAAACTCATTGTTTGTGGGATCAAAACCAGTCCAGTCTGTCAGTCAGTCAATTTTTTTGTGTAGCTCTCAGCGTTGAGGCAAGCAGAGAGGGAATATAACCATTCAGTTTGCCAAATGTACACACAGACCTTCCAGCAAAGCCACGAAGCCTCTTTCATGTGAAGCTGAAGTTTCAACGCTCTGTTGGCACTGCGAGAAATAATGAGGGTCTTTTTTTTCTCCACCCCCTCCGTTGCCACCTGTGAGGAATGAGGCTGTAATCATGCCATGATTGATATTGTTTTTACTTAATCTGTTTCCTCCAGCTGTCCTCGTGCGGTTCTTGACCAGACGATTCATTGGTGAATACGCCTCGAATGCAAGTAAGTGTTTCCAGACTTGGCAAAATTATATTCTGATGAGGTTCGAGTTGGGGGGGGGGGGGTATGCTAATGCACGAAACCCCCAGGGATGCTGCTCCTCAGACACTTTAGACTATAGATTTGTTGACTGACCAAATTTTACTGTAGCTTTTGTTGATCATGAAATATGGGCACCATTCTTTGTGGAGTTTACATGTTGTCCCTGTATGTGCACAGTTTCTCTGGCTATTACAGTTTTCTTCAACAGAACAAAACTCTAAATGTCCCTTAGTGTGGGTGAGCGTGTAAATTGCTGTTTTTTAGCTCTGTGTTTGTTAATTATTGCATAAAACTGTTTCCAAACACAAAATACTTGTGAAAAACTAATCAAAAGAGTTGATTAAAAGCCAGTTTTTCATTACTTTGTTTGGTATAAATCTTTTTGTATGTTTTACAGATTCTCTGTACCATAAAAGGCTTTCAATTGATGGCAGGCAGCTGAATTTGGAAGTTTTCGACCCCTGCTCTCAGGTATAGTAGGACAAACTCATCTAAACTAAATACTTCATTGGAACAGCTAAATTGTGGCAGGACTCCAGGCCTTCCTGGTCTTAATTATTTAGTTTTTTTTCCAGTTTGTCTGACAGACTGAAAAATTTACTAAACATGTTTTCTTGTTTTATTTTTGTAACTGAAAAACACATCTAGGATTAAGTTATTTTTGTTTATTTTAAGGCAAATTTCCACACGCAAATTTGTATTTCTATCCTTATTAGGACTGCGTATTGACTTCCATACAGCCTAACCTTGAGTCTTACCCTAAACCTATCCACCTCCAGTACATAATTAAACCTAAACTAAACTCAGTTCACACCTTAGTCCTAAACCTAACCCCCAACCCAAAAATGGAGTTCCACCATACTAGGACTAGTCTTTGGTCCTCATAAGGAGTACTGGTCTTGACAACGTCGGTGTGTATACAAGCAACACTCAAAAAGGTAACAAATACAAGCACACACACACACACACACACACACACANCACACACACACACACACACACACACACACACACACACACAGGTTCGCCCAGCTATACATTTGGGGACGTTCCATTGACTTTCATTAGGGGAGACTGGGGTAAGATGAGCCATTTTTCATATTTAAGATCACTACATCAAGGCAATCATAGTTTTGTTGCCAACTAATATATCTACATATATTTCAGGATGTTGTGTATCCATTCAAACAAACAGAATGAGTGTAAAAATAACTATTTCAATAATATAGCATGTCTAAAAAAGTGTTCTTGTGGCACAACTTACCCCCTGAATGGGGTAAGATGAGCATACGAGTGGGGTAAGATGAGCCGTATCCCTACTTCCCCTCACCCCACCCCTCCCTTGCCTTCTTCCTCCCTAACTAACTGCTTCGCAATATTCTGTGTATAAACTGTGTTCACTGAAGGCAGTGGCCCTTGCTAAGGATGTGGCCTCTGGTGTCTAGCATGAAAGATGATGTCGGTTTTTGAACAACTCAAGCCAATCCACTCCTGGAAAAAAGTTTTCTTAACAATGATGCCAATAATATTTATAATATTTTTCTATTAACATAGTTATCAATTAAATTTGCCTCCATGTTCAATATCCGCTACCTGCTCATTCTTCTCTTGACCAGTTATCTGGCACAGGGATGTTGTTTCGCTTTGCAAACTCGTAGGTAAGTTCTCTGCATTTAATGGTAGTAAGCCCATGAAACTGGTCTGTGAGATTCTTAATATGTTTGGCAAGTTCAGACTCCATGCCATCTGAGAGAATCCTGTTAGTCTCTGCTACTCCATCATAGCCTGTGTTTTTCAAAGGTACATTTTCTTTTTTGCCAATGTACGTCTTCAGTGTCATTCTGTCTATCTTAGCTGCTGCTCGAATAGACTTCCATTCTCTTACTTCACTGGTGGCTCTTTCAAGAACATCAGTGGTGGCTCCCCTACTTGTTTTGCACTTATATACATGAGGTTGATGATGTCCACACTGTAATCATACAAATGCAGAGTCTTGATTTAATGCTTAAGACATATAGGCTACAGCCAAAATACACTTAAGTGGTGGCACAACTTACTCCTTGCCAAATGGCTCAATTTACCCCAGAGCTACCATTTTGACAATATTAGTCCCCACAGCTAAAATAGTGCACTTTTATGCTAGATTTAAGACCTCATGTTGTAGCTCATAGAGACCGCAATTGATGTATAAAACAAATTTAAAATTATTTATTTTGGTCTAAACACAATTCTCATGAAACTTATGATAGACTAAATTCACTTTCAAGAGTGAAAAATGTTTTTTCAGAAATAAACTTCCAACCACTAACCATGTGGTTCTTACCTTCACAGACTCCATGAAATGACACCCTCCTCCTAAACATTTGGTCACATGATCAATTTTGTTTACCGTTTCTTTGCAACAAGGGGTGGCTCAACTTACCCTAGTCTCCCCTACATTTCTACAGCCTAACCCTGACCACAAACCCTAAGGCTAACATCTGACCCTAAAACTAACCTAAACTCAATTCACACCTTGGTCCTAAACCCAACCCCCAAACCACCAATGGCATTTAAACCAAATGGGGACTCGACTTTTGTCCCCAAATGCACCAATTGTCCCCAAAGGTAGGATTTTTGTCTTAAAATTGCCCCCAAATGTCACCAGAAACAACCCCCCCCCCCCACACACACACACACGCACACACACACCATTAAATCCTGATGTTCTTTATCTGATTTTGAGTGTCACAGATCAAACCAGACCATGTCATGCATTGATTTCCTCTGTAACACACCATGGTTGATATTAAATGTCTGCAGAGAGTTTGACAGAACAGCAGTCAAACACTGGCTGCTTTTCAGCTTGCAGGGAATCTGCACGTCCCTGACCTTTAGTGAGATCTGGTCATATATTTGCTGGCACGTGTACAATCTCTGCTGCTCTTAAGATGGGAATCCAGAAGGTTTATGAATGTATCCCAAGGCGATTTATGCCATCGTCTGTTTCTTTCAAGAAAAGAGGCTTGTAACTTTACTTTGCTTCTTCAGCACCAAGACAAAAGACCTGAGATGCCTTTTACTAGAAGTTTGTATTTTTACTGGGATACTTCAGTTTCAGCAGAACATGTTATTTTCTTTCCAGTTGGACTCACTTTAGCACCACCTTTTCATGAGGAAGAGTGAGTTCATATCCTGCCTTTCTGATATGGACTGAACAATGAAAACCGTGGAGTTAATAAAGAGAACAGGTTTAAACCGGTACTTAAAGTCCCGTGTCTCATTTCTCTTTTTATACACCGCTTATTTCTCCTCAAGGTCATAACAGTGAGTACAGCCTTAGCCAATATGTTATATTAAGTGTCTGAGTCTCCCTTTGAAATGCTTTCAAATATATCAGAAAACACCTTCAGTGCTTCATTTGTTTTTTCACTTGAGGTCAAACATGCTGCAGTAAATCCCTCTTGATCTGATGTTTCTACGAAAACGGTGGATTTCTATCCACTGCACTGCAAATTAACCCAATTAGGTTTATTACATGCTGTACATGTGATCAAAAATTTTTTAAATCTTAAGGATACTTTTGAATGAGCTGATTATTGTTCACTTAACACTTACAGAGCTATGAATGTGTGTTCTACCTATGCTCAGGTTTCTTTTTTTATTTTGTAGCCTGAATAAATTTTAACAAAATTTCAAAATAAAAGCACATTAATGTTTTTGGATTTGTTTCTGGCAGAGCTCTGAAGCCAGGTGCATACTGGAGGAGCCAGTGGACTGGGCAGATGGTTTTGTTGTGGTTTACAACATCAGCGACCTCACTTCTTTCATCAACGCCAAAAACATCCTCCAGCAGATCAGGGAGGCACGCACGGACAACTGCAAAGGGTCAGAAGAAGCTGAGTGATACCAATTGTGAATTGTTCCAATAAGCAAAGAGGAAGCCACTTTTCCACAAAAATTAGGGTGCTTTGAAAATTAAAAGCCACAAAAAACAAAAAAGTACAGAACTTTGGAAAATTATTTTCACATCATCTTGATGGTAACGAGTTATGCTGCAAATCCCATTAATCACCTAATTTCTAGAGATACCCCATTAATGCAATTATTTGTTTTGAGTTAGAGAAGTTCATTTTCTTGTGAAAACTGGTAAAAGAAAATTCAAAACTGTAACTGATATAAAAGCTGCATCTCAGCATAAATCAGGACAGTCAGTGTGGGAAATGATTAAAACAGTTACATCAAATATCATCTATCAGTTTTCAAATCATGACTACTATAGATCATCTCCAGGTGTCATAACAGTGATACTAAATGTTCAAACTGTGAGGAACATGACACGTTTTCCACTCATAATTATAGCAGTGTGAATCTTCAGGCACCTTAAGATTATTGTTTTATAAATCAGAGAAGGTGTTAATAGTGGTGTAAATCACCAGTTTTATCATGATATGATTTATTAATTTGTTTGGAAGAGGACATGATGTTTCTTGAAATCACAAAGTCCTTCACGATATGATTTCAATTTAATTAAATTAACAAGTCTGCGATCGATATGATGCGATATCATATGCCAAACCAACAAAATCAAAAGGATTGTGTTGGATGGGGATATAATACCGATTCACATCAGGCACATGGTGACGATCAGGAGCAGAGAGACAGGGCATCTGATTGGCCCCCCTAAGTGCCACCCCTGAATGATGGACATGTAGGAGCAACCAGAAAAGTTCCTTGAGGAACTTTGCCATGCGGCTGCCTTTTTAAATTTATGATTTGATTGTACTACATGCTGGTGATTGCAGCTCATACTACACCAAATTTCAGCTCAATATGTCTAAAAGTAGCTGAGATACAGCCATTTGAATTAGAATTCACATTCAGAATTTGCCAAAGATTCTTGTTGTAACCTAACCTAACCTAACCTAACCTAACCTAACCTAACCTAACCTAACCTAACCTAACCTAACCTAACTTAACCTAACCTAACCTAACCTAACCTAACCTAACCTAACTTAACCTAACCTAACCTATC